GATGCATCGTTTCTAACATATTTGCATTGGTAAAAACCGATTCATTTATATATAATTACTAGTGGATGTGCTATACTTTTATTCTTTAGAAAGTGACCAATATTTTATATGTAGATTGATTTCTCCTCTCTAAACTGTTTCTCAAGCGCGTTCTCTCATCACTGCTGCTGCTGCGTGAATATGACGTATCACAACACTACGGAGACCCGAGGAAAGACTGGGATTAAAGTCCAAAACCTGACTTGAAATAACCTAACAAATCACTCAGGGCTAAAGCGGTTCCATTAACGAAAAATTAAATTCACACAATCTCACTAATTTGTGCACGCTTATTCTTTAGGCAGACCTTAATGTCGATCATGGATCAAATTTCGATTCACCATGAAAAACAGCGAATATCTGTGCCATTTAATGCATTTGAGACTTGGTGTTTTCCTCAGTGCATAACTGACAAGCCACAGGTATATTTTTCATCTGTAAATGTCAGAAAGTCATGCAAACATATCCATTTTGCTGTCAGGAGTGAGTGGGCGAGGCACGCGAGATCAACGAGCGCTGCTGCGCGCATGCACGCTAAACAGACAGAGAGTAAAATATACATTCTGATAAAAAAAATGTGTTTTTGGACATTAAATGTGTCTTTTGTAGAATTTAAAACCTACATATAAAGTGTATTTTTATGATAGCAGTAACTGTAAAGGGACTATTGTAATAGGTAAATCAAATGTAAGCTAGACACAGTATACTAAGCTCATATGAGTTAATATGTAGTCATTTTCTTTATTATTTATTTTCATTTTTAATTCAGTGATTTTAACTTTTAATTTAGTTATTTTAATGCTTTAAAGAGCAATTTTAGATTGTAATGTTCTGCTATCTGTTCTGCAATCTATAAAAGGTACAGCTGTAATACAACCAGAGAGAAAGGCTGCATGCAAGAAACTGTAAAAAAAAAAAAAAAAAAGAAGAAAAAAAAAGAAAGTCAAATAATAGTATGTGAGACAGTGGTAATATCATTATGTTTCTATTGGTCAGTAGAGGAGCTGAGCTTAGCCTGACAGTTAGCCTGCTTTAGACCAGGGGCCAGTTGCATAAACTTAGCCACCATCTTAAAAAATAGTTTGACCAACTAGCAGTTGCCAAAGGGTAATCAGTCTTACTTTTCCAATACAAATAAGACCAATCTACCTTTTCATAACTGAATTAAAAAAGCTATGACCAGTCTTGAAGAAAAACAATTAGTTGACTAACTTTTTAAGACTAGTCTAAACCGTTTATGCAACCGGCCCCAGGTTAGTTTCCCAGCATAAGCTGGCACAGTGACTAAGCTTGATCTAGACCAGTGATGGGCAAACTTGGCCCTTCCAGGCCACTTTCCTGCAGATATTTGATCCAACCCTGATATGACTCACCTGCCTGTAGCCTTCTAGTAGTCTTGAAGACAATGACTAGCTGGTTCAGGTGTGTTCTGGTTCAGGTGTACGACTCGGCTCGGTACGGCTCAGTACGGCACGGCATGGTACGGCTCGGCTCGCGTTTCCACTGCAGTTCAGTACCGCTTTAGAGTGGGCGGGATTATTCACATGTCATTATAGTTGCACCGCCTCTACTACCACGACTCCTAAAAAAAAACTTTTTCATTCCGCGTCGCCCCATCAAGCTCTCGCTGGATCCGCTCCTCTGCTATCAACGAGAGGAACGTCTGTTCTTCTGCAACAGACAACAAAACTTTTTGGTTGTTAAAAAAAAGGTGCGCTCGTTCAAAACAGTTGCGTTCGATCCTTCGCTGGCTGTGCTGATTTAAATCTAGCAGTTCTTTTGTGTTCGCAAGTTCAGTGACGCAGGTAGTGACGATTCTCTCCAGCCAGTCCGTGATCAGCACGTTTACACGTCATGTTTTGGTAACGGTACGGTTCACTTGGAACCCCAACTGAAGTGGTACTAAAAAAAGTACCAGGTACCAGGTACTGTACCCAGTGGAAAACCCCCCAAAAGTGAACCATACCGAGCCATACTGTGCCATACCATGCAGTGGAAAAGCGCCATTTCATTAGTGTTGGAGCTAACCTCTGATGGAAAGTGGCCTGGAAGGGCCAAGTTTGCCCACCCCTGATCTAGACCTATGTTAAATTTGCTTTATGGAACCAAATCATTTGACAATGAGTCAGACTAACTGAAATAAGCCTGGCTTATTTGGTTAACTTGTTTTATGAAACAGGCCTCGAGGCATTAAAAGTGATCATATTTTCTCCATTACATCATATTGCATCGAATTGCATTGCATTGTGTTGAATCGAATCGAATCTAAATCGGATCGCACTGCATCGTAACAGGGGTGAATCATATCGCAACGCATCGGTAGCTGCTTCATATGTATCTTTAAAGGGGTCATATGATGCTGCTAAAAAGAACATTATTTTGTGCACAAAACTCGCGTTTGAATCATCAGTGGCAAATCCTCGTTTTAGGTAGGTGTGGCTGACTCTGAACTTTTATAAAGAATATCTCTTTGGATTTGAGACTTTAGTCTTTGCAACTTTACAGATCTTCTTTATGCACCAAGAGCTTGTAACACTCCAAAGAGAAAGGAAAAATTGAAATCGCATCATATGACCCCTTTAATTTATCGTATCGTTGGCTATGCATCGAGATGCGTATCGTATCGGCCTGAGTCATGAGATGCCCATCCCTACTTCAGTGCCAAATCATCATTTGGAGAAACCCCCCCCCCCCGGAGCTGACAGTCGTACTGTTAAAATTCAGCATATTATTAACTTATTAACAAAAAATAAATGAAAACTTGCTTAAGCTAAAATACTCAATAAACGAACATGCAATAGACAGGGATTGTGTAGAACACTGTTTGAATTCTTCTGAAATCTGCGGGAACAGATTGCATGTGGACCTGGTGATGCCAAACACATGGCATTCCCACTCCAGTTGAGTGACTTGCATGATAGAAAGAGAGAGAGTGAGAGAGAAAAGATCAGAACTCACCTTGACGTTTTCTGGACAGTCATTGGAGCACAGGCCACTGAGCACTACAGAGATAAAGAGAGAGAAAGACAATCATAACTTTGTCCCACACATCTGGTCCTTAGATAAGACACGCTGATTGCAGCATCTGTATCAAATCTACTTCACAACACTGCTAAACACGAGCAGCAGTACATTCACCTCCTCTAATATCACACAGTTTAACACCAACTCTGCTCCCGCACACACCTTCAGCCAAGAATTATGCCTATAGAAAATGAATCGGGCAAAATGTGCACTAAATTCCCACTAATGGTGTGAAATAAGAGCCAGACTCTCTGCTTCTCTTGAGGCCAAAATTGACTGTGCGTTAGAGAACAGCACATATGAAAGGGAAAGTAAAAAATCATTAATTGCTCATTAGTGGCACACAAAGAACCATCTGTGTACTTGTTCATCTGTCTATCTAAACACAGCATTAGATTTTTAAACTGGCAGTGACAGGCAGCACTATTTACAGACACAGCCAATTAGAAAGTTCAGGGTGGAAGTATACCAGTATAAATTATATAAGAGAAAATGGAAAGGACAAAGAAAAAAAGTGTCTTTGAAAGTCTGATGGAAAAACAAATTATGAAAATGTTTCAATCACTTCTCATCCTTTAAAAATGTATAGATTTCCTTGTTTGGTCTGACAGACAAATGTTCTGCATGAGTTATTAGGATTGTGAAATCAAATATGTGGCTTTGGTTTTCAAAGCGAATGTACTGAGGGGTGAAAAGAGAGGTGTGACATGAAGCCTGAAATAATTTTTCATTCATGCCTGGTCTAACAGTTTGTTTTATTTTTATTTTTAGTGCTTGAAAGACATGAACAGAGAGATAAAGTGCATCTTCCCGAGCCCTCCATGAATGAGTGAACTTGCTACACCCCTCTGTAATGTTTGATAGATAACATTCTAGCACAGCATAGCCTTCTACTAAGGCTAATAGGAAATGAAGGAATTTGGGCAACAGAAAATAGGGCAAAAATCTTGTTTCATGAGAAAAAAAATATTGAAACTCAAAATAATGTATGTTACTTACTGGTTAACAGTGTTTAAAAATTACATTTTCATTCTGGAACAACTGAAATTAATTTTGTTCCCATTGTCAAATACATTATGGAAAATTATTAATATTTTGAATACTTGATTCATATTGAATAAACATAAATACAGATATCAATTCTGCAATGCAAATATTTCATTAGTTGTTCTGCCAGTGCCAAAAATAATATGTTATTTTTTTCATAGAAGTACGAAATTGACTTTATGTACATGCCATAGCTCCCACGAGCAAAGCACGTAGATTTCAAATCATATACACTACCATTCAAATAGTCTGGGGTCAATTTTTTTTAATGTTTTTAAAGGAACTCTCTTATACTCACCAAGGCTGCTTTAATTTGATCAAAAATACAGTAAAAGCAGTAATACTGTAAATAAAATAACTGTTTTGTATTTTAGTATATTTAAAAAAAAAATAGTCCTGTGATAGCAATGGCAAATTTCCAGCAGCCATTACATCAGTCTTAAGTATCACATACTCATTCAGAAATCTTTGTAATATGCAGATTTGGTGAAAAAAGTCATTTTTATTATTATTATTATTATTATTATTATTATTATCAATGTTGAAAACAGTTTGCTCAATGTTTTTGTGATACCATACTTTTTTTGATGAATAGAAAGTTCAACAGAACGGTATTTATTTGAAATAGATTTTTTTTTGTAACAAAGTAAATGTCTTTACTGTCACTTTTGATCAATTTTATGCATCCTTCCTGAATAAAAGCAATAATTTCTTAAGAAAAAAAAAATGTACTGACCCCAAAATTTGGTATGGCCGTTCTGGGTCCTGCAACAAACAAGCAGCTGACATCTAGATGAACAGGAATGCTAACAGATAACCTTCTCCAGGTATTATAGACCTCATTGTGGAAGACATCCTGCTGGCCTGAAGCTGTCAGATACATTTTAAATCTCTAAGGCTAGTGTTTGTGAATGTGTAGCTAATATTGAACACCAGTTTGAACATACAAACTGACATGCCTGCACATGAACGCTGAAGGATAAGGAAACATGCACACATAGTGGAAATGTCTCTATCAATGACAAGCTACCAGCAGGGCTTGTGCACTGAGCTGAAGCATGATATGCACGGTCATGACACGCTCCCACTGTGTCTGTGTGTTTGTGTGTGTGCATGTAGTGCTGGGCAGTGCCCACCTAAGAGTACAGCATAAAACCATTAAAAGACACAAGGTTTAGCACTGAATACATCTAAACGTGCTTAAGGGAAGTCGGGGCCTAATGGTTAGAGAGTCGGACTCGTAACCCAAAGGTTGTGGGTTCGAGTCTCGTACCGGCAGGGATTGTAGGTGGGGGGCGGGAATGTACAGTGCTCTCTCCTACCTTCAATACCACGACTGAGGTGCCCTTGAGCAAGGCACCGAACCCCCAACTGCTCCCCGGGCGCTGCAGCATAAATGGCTGCCCACTGCTCCGGGTGTGTGTTCACAGTGTGTGAAGGATGGGTTAAATACTAATTCCTAGTATGGGTAACCATACTTGGCCACATGTCACGTCACGTCACGTTAATCCCAATGAAATGCCATTTTGTGAACTCACTGCATGAATAATGCACTTGTTTACTGTCAGAGCTTAGTGTGAGCCTTCATACACAGATAAGACTCGACGTTTGTCTCAATTCCTCCCGCAGGCTCCATTTGGAGATCCTGGAAACCTCTCTAATACAAATAAATTAAAATAATCACACAGCGACAGGCCTGTCATCAGACATCTATGATAAACTGAGGGGAAATACAGAGCGGTAAAGTGGACAGTCGAAAAAACTATTCAAATAAAAACTTACGACGGTTCATTCATCATAATGACATCTTGATAACTTTATAAGGTTACGCCTCATCCCAGAATGTCTGACATGATTGTGTTTGAACAGCTTCAACAGTTTTTTCTTCTTCTTGTTGTGACAAAAGGAACAGATCCAAATTGTGTTGCAGTTTGTTGTTCCCAGGACATTGGGAGATTCCGCGGAGTGAATCTGCCGGGAGTTTGCAGCAACAGTGGAATAGCTGTGATGTGATGGCTGTGAAATTGGACATGAGGCCTGCTGTTCTGTTCCGCACTGGTAAACCAGATACCACCGACGCTCTAAGTGACTGTGTCTCATGTCATTCATAATAGCTGCCCCACACAGACGCTCACACATCATTACACCATCAGAGGTGGTGGTGCACTACTTCATAAAGCTGGAATAATACCTGTCACTCTTAATCTAGTCCATGAAACTGGTGACCAGGTGCTTTCAAAGTTGTGAGATCACAGCCTGGAGTCGGGAGATTACATCCATTACCTTACTCTAACCCAGTAGCAACACAGACGGCTTTATGATTGACTCTAAGTCTCGGTTGAGGTCAGGCAGTGATTACAGTAACAAGCAGCACTCATCACCTAATCAATCAGCCTCAATAAAAATAGAAAAAAATAAAATCTCCACACACTTAAAGCGGCAGTGTCTATGCTCAAATACTACTAATCCAGTTTCATATGCAGAGAGAAGCAAGTAAACTATCATTTTGCAGAAATAATGTGGCTCTGTTTGTTTGAGCAGCCAGACACAGAAACACTGACAAATGGCATCAATTTGGGGTGTGGCTATCTGTTTGATCGACCAATGGCACACAGGTGGAGAGGATTTATTAAAACTGCCAGGTTGTGCACCACTCAAAATACCTTTTAAAATCTAGTTCATGGATAAATTTGAACTGAAATTAAAGGTAGAATTGAAGGCAGTAAATAGGAAAAAAATTTTTAATTTGAAAAAGTAGAATTAAAACGAATAGTTTGAAACAAAAAGTTTGAAAGTTTTTAAAAACTTTTTCCAGACAGACAGACATAAAGACACACAGATGGATGAATGTCACAATACAGTAGATGGATAGCTAATAGATGGATAGAACGATTGAACAATAGAATGATAGATGGATGGAACGATAGAACAACAGAACGATAGATAGACAGACAGACAGACAGACAGACAGACAGACAGATAGATAGATAGATAGATAGTTCATTGACAGAATGATAAACAGAATGACAGAATGATCGATAGATAAAAAATAGATACTGTAGATGGATAGCTAAAAGATGGATAGAATGACAGACTGATAGACAGTATGATAGATTGATAAAGTGATAGACAGTATGACAGACAGAATAACAATGATAAACAGTACAATAGATAGAACGACAGACAGACAGTAGGACAGGCAGAATAATAGGCAGAATGACAGATAGAATGATAGATAGAACAATATGTGGCCAGTTCAATTCAAATTCACACTCATGAAAGGGATTACATTTTTCAATTCTGAATTTTGCACAACCTTTTAGATCACAAAAACACAAACTTGTTCCTCAAAATTAGCTGTATTAGCACGATAATTTAGTGTTTTTCTCTACTACTGATAATGAGGCAAAACAAACAAACAAATAAAAAGAACTAGAGTGACTAACAGGACTGAACTGAAATCACAGCGAATCATTCATAAAATCCAATCATCTATAGTGAAAGAAAAAGACCTTCTTTTATGAGTTCTCATGTACAGTTGTAAGGTGTGGGGCGGGGGCTTGGTTTCTAGAGTGACAGATAACAGATTCGAGGAAGGAGCTTGCACTGGACTGAACAAAGCACGCAGATGTTCCTCATTGCGGCTCATCTGCATTCTAATAAATGAACAGGAATGCAATCAGCTGCCATAGTTCTCTCTCTCTGCCTATAGCCAACACACACCACAAACACACACTCCAACCACCGTCTGTGTGCTTCTAGAGCACGCAAATCACAGGAAATTACGGCACCTGGCCTCTTCCCTCCTCTGATACTCTCCTGCTACCCGCTGACTGCTCACTCTGACTTCTTTTTCTGTCTATTGAGTTGTAGCTCAGAGGGGAGGTATAAATATGTGTATTTGAGCATTTATGACACTGAGGAAAAAAGGGGCAAGTGGGTGTTTTAAACATGGCAAAAGATAAAAGGGCTGGAGTGTAAATCCAGAACAAAACGAAGGCTTCAACATATTACACGTCTGTGATAAGGCTCAAATTCTTTTCATGTTCAGCTTCAGATTTATGTCAAAATACACATGGCCTTGAGGACTTGGCAGCATCGAACGGAACTAAATTGTTTATTTATTCCTCTGAGGATGGAATAACTGAAGGCTTTCCCGGCAATATGTAAACCACTTTGTTCTGAGAGAGGGAAAGGTGATTGCATTAGGACAGCTTTCATACCCACAATTCCTCTAGAGGACAGTAAACGAGGCAAGTTATTATAATGCACCGGTGTACGTCACCTGCCTCGCCTTAGTGGCTGGTGGAGGGTGAGGTGGATATTAGGTGAGTTTCTAGTTATCAAAAAACTGTCCCCATATTTTGATACCTTTTTTTTTATACTATTACGGATTTATATGGATATAAACGGTCTTTAACTGCTTTACAAAGTTGTTCACAAGCTGCACACACACAATAAATAACCGATACACATTTGAACATTATCTACAATATATTGTGGGTAAATATCCACCTCCACCAGTGCCCTTTTTATTTTCTGTCTTATAAAGTATCCAGTTAAGCTGTGAGAAAGTGTGTAAGTTCACTGTCCAAACGAATCAAACTGGATTGTGAACAATTTCAGACCTATATTTAATTGATTACATCAATAGTGATTCATTTATGAATCTGATCCTCTCAATCATTGCTAGTTTTAATTCATAAGGCTGATAAAAACACACATGACATGACTGCTGAAATATTATCAGGGACATTAGGGCTTCTCACACTTGAAATAGGTAACCCTGGGTCATTCTAAACAGAATCAAGGGATATCTTGGTTTATATTTCACAATGTTCATAATTTATCTGGTGTTAATAATTCATAAGCTGATGTTTCACACTGTACATTCCTAAACTCTGCATTAATGTTTATATTTGCAGTGTCAGTGCCATTGATTGGACGAACACAGCACTCGACCTGTTTACATGATGGCTCTAATATTGTGCATCCTTGCGTTATACATTTCCATCTGTACTATCAAGTTTTTCCTGAATGGAGTTTTCTGTAGACCATAAAGGTAAAAATAAAATGGTCTTCACTCAGCATTTGATATTTTTACCTTCAAACTCTGAAACGACAACGCATAGTCTTTCTGTAACTGTACTTGAATATGAAGAAAGCAATTGTTATGAAGCTTTTGCTGGAACCCCAGGTAAAAAGTGGTGCTATCCCCACTTCTAAATTACAAGTGTGAAATGTACCTTTATCAGAGGTTAAAAGTTGGGTTTAGAACGACGATAACCCGGGGTTAAATGCAGTGTGAAAAGCCCTAATGATTCTCAGGTTGGCATACAGTAATCATGGCATAAAGTCCACCATCAGGCAAAGATTTGTCAGTAGTATATTATTGGCTCATGCCCAGTAAAGAGGATTTTGCAACACCTCTGGTGGGTCTGCTGTTTGGTTCCTCATTAATACATAGAAGGATTTCAATATTTTGCACTGCAGAATGGCAGTATCTAGCACATCTTTCAGTTTGAAGAGTCATTTGCAGCCGACTGAAGAAAAACTATTCTCAGAGCAATGCAGCACATATGAACATATGGGCAATGATGGTTTCGGTTTTGATTCATGGGAATTTGATTAATGTGAAACCTATTGATTTTTAATACAGCACCATTTCTATTGCTTGAACATGGTTGGTTAATGCATTTAGGCATCTGTGGCCTGTCTCAGAGATGCCGGGATATACAGAGCTAATATATTTAGTAGGGATGGGAAAGTCTCCATTTACAGTTGTGTCTCAATCAGACGGCAAATTACTTCCCAAATTGCCATTTTAACTTTTCTTTAAAGGGGTCCTATTATGTTTTTCACTTTTTTAATTTTAGTCAGTGTGTAGTGTGTATGTTTGGGCATAAAAATATCTAGAAAGTTACAAATCTCAAAGTCCACTCCAAAGGGAGATATTTAGTTTTTTAAAAATCCATTTTCAAGAACTACAGCAAACGGCTCGTTTGGACTACAGCGTTTGGTTTCCGGGCTTTGTGATATCACAAAGCGGCTCATTAGAATTTCATTACAAATAATTCCCGCTTACAGAAATTCTAATGGTTGGGGGGTGGGGAGGGGCAAGGTTGTGGTTAGAACGCTTGGTTGAGTGAGCGCATCAGACGAGACGATGAAGAAGAAGAGCTGCTGTGCTGTAGCCTCAAATTTTTGGCATGTCTAGAACAGCAGTTCTCATTTCCAGTCCTCGCCCCGCTCTGTACATTTTGTGTGTTTCTCTTATTGTTTCATACGTTTGTTATATTTGACTGACTAAGTGCCCTGCGAAGTGGACATTACCGGATATTCCACCATGATTCCAGTTTGAAGGGAGCGTATATGTTCCATACAAAGGGCATTTAAGTGTGCGAGACGTGAATTTAAATTGTATTTATTTACAGAGGTATATTATGTCCCACTTCACGCTTCTCTAGTAAGTTTAGTTTGTGTGTGAAGACGCTGCAGGCAGTGGCGCAGCGCAAATCTTTAAATGAATATTTCGAAGTGAAGTAAACTTCAACGGATTTTCCCTGCTCAGGGAGTAGGGAGCAATGGACACTGTGTAGGGAGCATGCCAATCGGAACTCAGTTCATGCACAGAGCTCACTTCTAACGAGATTCAGGTGTGTTAACAGAGAGATGTGCAAAACATGCAGAGCGGCGGTACGCGAGGACTGGAATTGAGAACTGCTGGTCTAGAACAATTCTTATAAGTACAACACGACGTAGCTGGACGCCGCCGGTGTGCCTACACTCATAGAAAATAATGTATTTGAATTTTAAAGCCGTGGCGCGATGCTGCGCTTCTCGTCCGGTGTGCGACCGCCTGAAACGCTGTTTTTAACCTCCGTGACCAAATGTCTTTGTTTGGGCTTCCAAAAGCGGATGATGTCAGGAAACAGTGGTTGCAATTTACTTTTTAACTCTGTTACTGAGCATTATAACCCCAATTTGCTATTGTGTGCTGCGCATTTTACTGAGGACAGCTTCCACATCACGAGTTAGAAGTGCCGGATTCCCAAAAGCTTTTGTTGAAAGATGGAGCAAGGGGGTGTGGCAGTACTGAAACACTGTCTAAGCTGTTCGCCAATCACAACGCACTGGGACAGCTAACCAATCACAACACATTTTGTTTTTTGGAAGGCGGACCTTCATCAAAGCCGGAACTAATCGAGCCGTTTGTCCCAGGCTGGGGAGAAAGGTATTGTAATAATGAAAATTATGTGAAAAAGAATGCGTCTTTCGAACCACCAAGCATGAGAGCATGTTCTAGTACACCCCCAAAGAGCATAATAGGACCCCTTTAACTACAATATTAAAAATCGTTGGTACTCAGGTTGTGCATATATTTTTCTGCCAGTATTTCACAAATATTTACACTACTGTTTAAAATTTTGGGGGCAGATTTTTTCCCCCCATTATGTAATACTATATATTCAGCAAGGGCACATTAAAAGAACAGTTCATCATTTACTCACCTTCATGTCATTCCAAACCTGAATGATTTTCCTTCTTATGTTTAACATAAAAGAAGATATTTAGAAGAATGTTGGTAATCAAACAGTTGATGGTCCCCATTGACTTTTTTCCCCCCCTCTACTATGGAAGTCAATGGGGACCAACAACAGTTTGACAAAATATCTTATTTTGTGCTCAACATAAGAAAGAAACATATACAGGTTTGGAACGACATGAGGGTGAGTAAATGATGACAAAATGTTAATTTTGGGGTGAAGTTTTTTTTAAAATTGACCTCACTTAAAGTGACATAAATCTATTGCAACAATGTAAAAGTATTTATTATTTTGAATAAAATAATTTTTGTAAAAATGTTTCTATTCATCAAAAAATCCTGAAAAAAAATATTAGGCAGCACAACTGTTTTCAACATTGATAATAAGAAGAATTGTTTCCTGAGCAGCAAATCAGCATATTAGAAGGATTTCTGAAGGATCATGAGACACTGAAGTCTGCTGAAAATTCAGCTAATTCAGGAATAAAAGACATCTAAAATAGTTATTTTAAATTGTAATAATATTGTTTAAATTTTTTACTGTATTTTTGATCAAATAAAAGCAGCCTTGGTGAGCATTAAAGTGCCTTCTTTCAAAAACATACAAAAAAAAAAATCTTAGCAACCCCATACTTTTGAATGTGTAGTGTCACTGCCGTTTTACAGACAAAGACAAACCACGTCTGTGTGGAATGGACTAGTGTAGACAGACTGACTGTAGAGGAGTGCAGAAGCAGGAAGTCATGAGTCTGCCATTATTCACAGGGATACGGCATAAACTACAGACTCATAAAAGCAGCTTTATTATGGAGGAGAGTCTATTTGTATAAAACATAACATTTATATTATATATAAACATCAATTCCACCCCTCACTCACAAACACAAGTGGCCATTTGATTTGAAAGGGGCACAAGCATCTTGGGAGCACTTTGTCACTGCAGTAAACTACCCAGAGTGCCTCTCTCTCCTCAGAGCCAGACATTCTGGCTTACAGCAGTCTCATTAAACACCACATCTACAGGAAAGAGAGAAAGAGAGTGCGCTAATAAGCACGAGGAGGGAGATTTAGAGACTCTGGGTCAGTCTCATCCCTGTTTTAATCTGACACTGATAGACTGATCCTCACATGCTGTTACACTGAGGAAGCTAATCTATGCGCTTGAGCTAGAGGAGGTTTTTCCTACTCCTTTAATTAAAACACAGCAGGCAGGATTGAATGGCATCACGGCTGCTTTCTAGTGGATGCATTTGGCTCTGGAAATGTCAGCTCTTCAAATGTCAGCACCCGGAAGCTCTACCGCCACTACGGCGGCCACACTGGACAAACCTCATACTCACCGATCACTTTTACGAAATACGCGTCGGCCTCAAAGTTGTTTTTCAAAGCGTGGATGACGAGCTCTTCCTTTCCTTCCACCTTGCTGAGCACGATCATATCTAATATACCCTGCAAATGAGAAATCAGAAACAATGTATAGAGCCCATTGAATCTCTCCCATCTGATGAGCACTCATATCCTTAATGGACTCCAGCAAGCTATTACGCTCCTTATCAGCCCCTCTCTGCGGTCTATCGGTCTCGCTCTTAAGAACACAGTTGTGCGGGGGCTCCTGCACAGATAGCATCCTAATACTGTGCTAATGATGACTAGCTCGAATGCTAACAGAATGAGACATGTGCGTGCTGTTTGTTTAATGAGCCTTTAGCTCCATTAGTTATGTAAGCATGAGGGAATTCGAGGTAATTGGCTATATTGTGATTACGATGGGGAGAAGGTTGCGATACGGATGGAGAGAAGGGTCGAGGGAGGGAATGAGTGAATCAGTGGGAAAGGAAGGGAGAGATGATGGCGAAATAAGACTGTCTGCAGAGGTGAGACATTTGACTTCTTTAGGTGAGCACCAAGAAGCTCACAAACCAATAGAGACCCTCATACATGCAAACATGTGTGACTGATACTTTGCTCAGACTCGTGTAAGATTTCTTCAGCAGACAAGCGTGAGAAAGACATAAAGAGAGTGAGAGAAAAATGTCATGAATACAATGTCGCAAGGCAAAAAAATCTTAATGGTCCAATTTTAATGGTAAAAAACCCCCCAAAAAACATTTTATAAATGCAATTCTTTCCTTTTGATTTTGGGGTAAAAAATGTAACCTGAACATTTCTGTGAGATTAACCCATACTGTATACAGAAGCTAAGCATTAGAAAAGAGCCAGACACATTCATGTGTGTGCCTTGTGTAGAATGAACAGTTCAAATCAATGCGTCTGATCAAAGGACACTTAGAAATCAATAATCTATAACAAAACCTTGAGCACTAGGGAGATACACACAGCTCAAGGGAGAAGAGACTGAGCTGTCCCCAGGGAAGCTTCACTTAAAATACTAAAAGCAGAAAACGCCTCAAACCATAGGCACACCCCTAATACTGATCAACAAAAACAGTGCACTGAATTACAAAAGACAACCAGAAAGAAAAAATTAAGGAGGCCTATTTACAGCCATTCTGAAACTTGTAGGAAAATGTTTTTGGTAAAATAAGAATGTAAAATGTAACAAGAGATTCATTTGAACCCCTTGACACTACATCTAAAAATTCTGAACATGACCATTACATTTTTTCCCCAATGGTTTGGATGCCAAAATATATAAATAAATCACAGACAAATAAAATATTAAATAAAATAAGCATTGCTGGATGTTGCATGCTTATCAGTGTTACTTTAGTATTATTTTTATACTGTCATATTTTGAATTAGCTCTTTTTAGATTTTCATTTTAAGTTTTGTTTCAATTTAAGTCATTTTGTTGTGTGTTTGCCATTTTCATTTTTTTAAATAATTCTACTTTCCGTAAATATATTTTTTCGTTTTTTATTTTTTTTATTTTAGTACTTCAGCTTCAACTTTAACTTATTTTTTTTATTACTTGCCAAAACAACATTTCTAATTTTCTAGTTTACAATTTTCATGTAATATTTATATATTATTTTAGTAACACAAACACTTATTCACATCAGACTTGGTTCAAACAGGTCTTAAGACTACATAGACTGCTATATTATAGGATGGAAGGGTGTTAAGCATCAAAGACTGGGGTTTTTGTAAAGTTCTCTACTCTCAATGTCAAAAGAAGAGCGTGCCTGTGTCACACCACAGAGACAACATTACAGTCAAAGTAAATCAGATAACGACTAAAGCTTGGTATAATGTGGGCCACTGAGACATCAACGAGATGAAGAAAGAGTGATCGGGGACAGAGAAAGAGAGGGAGATTGAAGCAGAGGCAGCGCTTTAATTAAAGTGCCAAAAGCAAGGGGAAAAGGCCAACACTTACGTCCTCATATATGTCAAAAAAAGTGGCCACAACAGCCTTGGGGATGGCACTGAGGTCTGACTGTTCCCAGTGCACACGGAACATGCGGCCCGCCTGCCGACAGCTCGCGTTATTACACGCCACATTCTCTAACAGGAACGCCTGCTGCTGTGTGCTGCTGAGACAGAAAGAAAGAGAAAAACAACCGTTAATGTGAGTAGAGTTGAGAAACACAATGCAAAAAAACTGTGCAGACACTGTGTCATGTTGAATTTAACCCTTGCTAATTAAGTTCACAAGCATATAGCAAACCATGAACTTTGACCAATTAAAGAGCATGTCTGAGACTGAATACTTCTTCAATGACAATATTACATGCATACATGCACACCGCAGACAGAGTACAGGAGAGGAGCACAGGGCTTGATGAATCAGTGAGACTGGAAAAAAGGTTGAAACTTGTGCACTGAACTTTTGATCCCTAAATAAAAAAGGCAATTAAGCAGAACCTATTCCTCCCCATAATTCAGTGCTGAGTGTGGGGAGGTGGATCTGGGAGGCAGCAGTGAATTATGAAATGAGATGCTTTTCTGCATTGCTCAACAACCCATCTGCCAGCCCTCTGCTTTATTTAAAACCCTTGTTTCATACCTTTATTTCACTGCCATTTCTCCCTCTAGTCCGATATTTACCATGTGACACTTCTCAGAACTACACCAATTTCGACCTGGGCATGTGAGAAGCTAAAAATAGAAACTGCATGAAGGTAGCAGGTAGAAGGTATTTTCTTCTCTGTCTTCCTTCTGTTGTTTCTCCTTGGTTTCAGAAGAAGAAAATGAAGATGGGACGTACACAAAACATACATTCGAAGCTGGATAACTGCTGCCAACTTACTACAAAACACACACTCCAGTTGAGCTACATAAACAATCTCTCACTCTCTACACTGTATATATGGGTACAGTGTTGGTTGTATTTGTGCATACTTGCAGTACAAAAAATAAGGCCATACACAAACAAAATGGCACACTTGTGGAAGCAAACTAGCTGTTTTTATGTGTGTTATTGAGTTTTTGTCTACTGAAAGTCTTTTCAGAATGATGTTTAGTCAGCTGAACAATCGGTATGTTGTTAAATAACAGTACAATCCTTCGAAAGCACTGTACTTCTATCCCTCACAGCCTCGTATTCATTCCCTTAAAAAATTAAATATACTACTACCCTGACTAAGGTCTATACAGTGATTTTATCCATCTTAACCCAAATGACTGACAGGTCAGACTCAGCTGATCTAATGGACCCCACTACAACCTCTACTCTGCTCAATACACACACACACACACACACACACTTTCTACGGCCACAAATTATATGATTAATGCTTGAAACTCAAATTCAACTTGGACCATGAAAATTAATTTCCCAGTTTAGATGTCTGGGATGGTCTGGTAGGCGATGAGACTTCCTGTGCGGATTGTGTTGGTCAGTCTGGAGCTTGGTCCACTAATCTGTGCATTTCACAGCCAAAGCCTCTGTGCACCTTTGCTGGCCGCCCGTCAGCGCAGGCCGATTTGGGGGGGCTTTGCCAAAGTCTTCCAGCCAAGCAAGCAGACTTTGTCCCCTCACAGGATTAACTGACACCACACTTACTGCAGCGCAGAGAACAGCTGCTTTACCGGCGCCTTAGCAGGTTTAACCGGCTGCCGCACACAGAAGGAAAGTTTTTGTCCTTGTATTTGGCTGTGAATCTCATGACTGCCATGACTGTCATGACTGCCAATTTAAAGACTAGTAGCTGAAACACATCAGTGCATTTGGACAGAAATTGTATTCAAAGCACACAGACAGCTGTGTGTGTGAAGGAGAGTGGTATTTTAGGTGTGTGTATGCGAGTACATACACTATTTGTCTTTATGAGTGTGTGCATCTGGTTACTGGGCATGCAGGCCCCACTTCCTATCCTCTCACTCTCTCACAGGAGTACGGTCATGACCAGTGGCTCACTGTGCCAACTGCACACCCATGAGCACACACACGCTCCTCGCTTAATTGGGAGCTTTGGACCCAACACCATGGCAAACCCAGCAGGGAAGAGCAGGCCAGAGGCAAGCCCACAGGCTGACCTCTCCCTCCAACTCTGTCAACCTTCCTCTGCTTTTCTCTCTTTCTACAGCAAAAGAGGGATTTGACTGTGCCGTTTCCTGACCGCTGTGCAGGATCGACATCAAAACGTGAATTTTTGAGGACGTCAGTTATCCAGAGCACAAACAGAGAATGAGAAAGTGAAAGACAGGCATGTTGAGAGGGACGGCAGGTGGCAGGTCTGGAGATTCTCTGAGGGGTAAGATGACAGAAGCAGAGAGATCTCGTCCCCCCAGGCATCTCTTCAATAACGGTCCACCCACTCTTCCTGAGGCTTCTTTCTCTCTCTATTGCTGTATGTGTTGGTCTACTTCTTTTTCAATTTGCTCTCAAAGGCAAAAACAAAGCATTCTGAAGGGTGGATGGCGTTTCAATCATTCGTTACCTCTGCTCTCTAACTGGAAATAGTATGCTTCTGAATAAGGAAGGAGGAGGAAGGAAGAAGTGATAGACATGCACAAAATATTGCATATAGGAGGCTAAAAAAGGAATCGTTAACCAGGATTGTGTGTCATTCAGAATTTAATAGGTAGCAAAAAGGATGAAGAATTGCAATTATAATTACAATTTAAGGAAATAGATTTCCAATGAATTAACATATTTTTTAACTAATAAAGCAAAATTTGTCAAGATTGTTCATTTGACAGATCGATAGAATGATAGACAGACTAGGGGTGTGCCATATCACACTGTCCACAATAATACCAGTATACATTTTTACATGATAAAAAAAGTGTCATATCGCGATATCAATGATATAGCGATGCAATGATGTATGGCGCATTTACGTTCCCTAGCACGCACAACAACAACACCACAAACCCAATAGGCGTGTTCGACTTGAAGCAGCGCTGCGCAGACTGAGAGGTGTGTGACATCAAAGTATCGCAAGAGCCGTTCTAGAGCATATTCGAGTGCACACTCTTATCAAAAATAGGCGAGGTACCTATCTTTAGCGAAGTGGCGTGGATAGCCGAAACGTGCCGCGGCGTGGCTGGTGTAAACACAAGCATTGACTAGAGTTGCCGCGTCGGAGCCGTAGCGCGCCGCAGACACGTGCAGTGTAAATAAAGGGTAAGTCACTCTTGCGGTATTTTGACGTCATACACCGATCGGTCTGCTTCAAGTCGAACACATAGCTTATGAATATAGATAGATTACACTTCGAATTAGGTAACGTTAGTCTGTCATCGATGACAGTAGCTCATTGGAAAAGGATGAAAAATGCCCTTCATTTTGTTTGCACTAATAAATGCTGCAATCACCAATAAAACATTGTTCCATATTTTTTTTCTATATCGTCATAAATATCATTATCGCAAATATTCTTGAAATATCGTGATATAATTTAGAGACTATATAGCCCACCCCAAGACAGACAGAATGATAGAATGATCGATAGATAGAACAATAGATACAGTAGATTGATAGCTAACAGATGGATAGAATGACAGATTGATATATATATATACAGTATGTCTGAGCCTCGATTCGCTCTCTTTCTGGCTTCCGGAGGTAAATGGCCGCCGGGCCGAAACACTCCATTTCACCATCTCCCATGATTGTACTTCACTGTGGAGTAGAACTGACATCACCATGCTGATATACTTAATTAGATTCGCTTTTTGAACTTAACTCTCCTAATACATTCCAATCTGTGAAACCTCCAAAGAGATCATATTGTCACCATCAGTTGGCAAGTTATTTACCTTGTATTATGCTCAGATAGAAATGGCAGCTGTCAAGTTAAGGATTCTGAAAAAAAAATTATAAATGACTATATACTAAATACTAATATATATATATATATATATATATATATATATATATATATATATATATATAATGATAGATTGATAGAACGATAGACAGTATGACAGGTAGAATGACAATGATAGAGTATGATAGATAGAATGACAGTATAGATAGAACAATAGATACAACGATAGAACGATAGATAGAACGATAGATAGAACAATAGATATAACGATAGATAGAACAATAGATAGATAGATAGATAGATAGAAAGACATAGATAGATTGATTTTTATGGACTAAGAAGTTATTTATTTTTAAATTTCTATGAATTACAATTTGGTAAATTGCTGTCATTCCAAATTTAGGTGCTTCTAATTCAAATCAAATTCACACTCATGAACTGAAAGGGAACCAGTTCTTACATTCTACTACACAATCATGCAACTGCACAAACCTGCATTTTTCAGTGAAAGAAAGAGCTAGATTGTACGGAAAAAAGGATAAATGGCACTCAATAGTTTGAGTGAGAGATTCAGAAAGCAAACTAAACAACAGCAGAACTGACATGCTAATGCTTCAGAGCATAGCTGGGCTAATCAGATATGACAACAACCATGCTTACTACAAGCTCTCCATGGACTCAAGTGCTTCATGTAGACTACATGAACGAATGAAAACATCATTACCAGAGAACAGTAAGTAGATCAGTTCAGATAAGAGTGTTGTATAATGCAGAAAGCTACATAACCGGAAAGACTTTTATTGAGCACGTCTTTCCCAATCGGCTGATGTAGATTTTTAGAGACCTTTCAAATTAATCCCTCCTATCTGAAGTGAAGGAAATAAATCTTTGCTTAAATGTTTGACAAGCCTTTAAATTTTAATCGCCTGCTGCATTTCCAGATGCCATTTTATCTTGAAAGTAAATGGGAATACAGTCCACCACGATGGATCTGATGCTCTGTCAGGAGAGTGAAATATTGACATGTATTGACATTTATCTTCCATCTTCGTGAAATGAAGACGTCTTTCTACTCTTGGTGGAACTGCAGCTAATCCTGACTGACAACGAGACAAGTATTTCAAAACAAATGCTCATGAGGTGGACGGCCATTGCCTAGCAACAGAGCACCGCGCTGCTGCAGCAGCTATAGATTTGAGCTTGAGCCCTAGCTCAGCCAGGCCAAATAATTCAATGTACGAATAATTCAGCATTGAGGTATACGGTAAATGAGACCGCTGCCGATGTGAGAAAAAAATATTCAGGTCTCATGC